TGCCATTAAGACATTTAGCACTACATTTATAATGTCCTAAGGATGTGAAGCCCTAATGGGCAGCCATTTAACTTGTCATTGATTTCCACCAGAAATAACTGATTTTAGTTCTCTTGGAAAAAAAATGAACCATAGGTGCTTTATTAAAAATCCAATCGATGCTTTTTACCCAGAAAAAAAATAAAGCTTTCAAAATAAACTGGCAATTTTATGAAGAATCCTTAATGTCACTATGCAGCAACAAACTAGCATATATCAAGGTGCTGTTGTATTTATGTCTATATACTGTATGTGTGCGTGTGTATGTTAAATGTGTATGGGAGAAGGGTATAAATATATATATATATAATTTATTAAGTAAAAATGTGTTTTTGGACTATGAGAAGCCTGTGTTTTTCCCGTTGAAAAATTTAATTTACCCATTTTGTTTGTTTCGACTTCCAAAAGGAAGTCCCTCTTAAATGTCAGCAGACTCCTCCTACTTTGAGCTTTTTCCGTGTTTTTTTTTACTTGCAAAATAACTGTCAGTTCTGCCACAATGACAACACTTCATAAATTATGTAAAATCCCAACAAAGTCAAGGGAGAGGTTTATTTGAAGCGCATTAAAAAGGATTTCTCCTAAACATATGTCCTGTTTTTAACATTCAGAGATTTTAATATTTAAAACCTCTGTGACGAAGTATTAAACACACATGCAGACAATAACAGCACAGCTCCATCTGATAAAAATATAACAGGGACCCAAAGGGGCTGCAGTTGTTTTATTTGTGCCTGACAGCAAAAATGGCAAAAAGGCCAAAATTATTACTTTGCCTGGAAAATCTACTCCCTCTAATTCTACAAATGTATATAAGTAGACATTCAAGAATAAAGGTCTATTACAGATAATAATCAAACTTAAAATATGTAAAATGTAATGGACATGACTGTGTAGTTTAAAAATATCTTAAACTAGCTTGGAGAGCTGAACACTCCTAATGTGAAAAAAATCCACCCTGCTAGATAAGAAATTAGAATCAGAACCCAGGCCTTTCTCTTAAATTAATATGCATCCATCATTTATTTTAGCCAATTAAAAACAGAATGAGCAAAGAAGCACCCTGTTATATGGAAAATGTTCCTGCAGCAAACTTACCCTTTAGGTTATATAATTTTGTTATAAACACTTTTTTATACATTTACAACATAATGTCTAAACATCCAAGGATCTATGAGTTCATCTGAAATAACTATTTGCTAAAATAATCATTACTATTCTGTCACTTCATACATTAGGCATGTATAGGTAAGTAAAATCTTTAACACCGCAGACTGAGCATCTGCATATTGTAGCATTCGATTACATATCGTTAGGGCAGTTTTACATCATTAAGATTGCGTTTACCTACATGCTGCAGGTGAGTAAGGCTCTGTGCATTGCTTCCTGTAAAACTTTTCAATAAGTTGGCAAAATCTGGTGCACAGCGTCTTAGCTGGGGATAACAAAATAAAAGCTCTGAGATCATAGGTGTAAAAAGGCAATGCTATGCATCCTCATACAACCTTCAAACCCAAGGCCAATACACACCTTTACAGATTTAGGTCAGTAAATCATTTGGAGAAAATAAAATTTAGTTTAGGATATAAAGTCCATAAAATTCTAAATATTGATGCATGCAACTCTTTTTTTCTGCATCTCAAATCAGGCCGATCATATCCTGTTTTGTGGGTCAGCAAAATGTTTAATCTTTAAAAAAATCTGAATTTTCACCCCATTGTTTTCATAACTATATGTGCAATTTTGACTAAGCAAATGTCTCAGTTGCTGGTCCATGAGACTTAGCAAGAAAACTTATTATTAGTACCTCAATATGAATGTTTTGTTTTTCTCTCTGTAATTACTCTTATTACAATTAAACCAGAGGGGGGATCACTATGCCCTCATAATGAGCCTAAATATTTGCACTATAATTAACAGAATAAAATGTAAACACAGCTATTAAGTAGCAGGAATACTAGCAATGCAAACTTTAATGGCAAGTGAAGCCTGATCGCTGTGACATTTCCTCACTCTCTCTGTCAGTGAGCTTATTACTGTCTGCCTCCCTTAAGAAAAAAAAAAAGACCTAAAGGGAAAACACTTTCCAGATTTCCTCCACTTTCTCTCTCCACCCTACTTGCTTCTTCCTTTCTTCTTAATAAATGCTACCATCTTGGGTTTCACCCTTAATATTTTTGCCGGTAAAGTAATGGAGTTCAGTCAACAGCAGAAATGACTAAAATTGCTGATGCTGTTGGTTTTATGCTACTGCTCTCTCCCTTAATAAAATGAGCCTGTTTCCATCTGCTGAAAGTTTTTTTTTTCTTCCTGGAAATGTTAAAATTGCTCAGTGGGGTTGGAAAAGCAAACTAAAATTATTGTGTGTGACTGGTTAATGTTATTGGTCTGGATGGAGATTTAGAGCCTTTCTGCTGCAAAACGGTAGCTGACTGGGTAAGACAGGCCACTGTGCTGGGCTCCCTAAAGACACCTATTAACATTCACAGGTCACAATGTTCATAAAGCTGGTGTTAAGTTAGCCTTTTTTTAAGCTTTGACTACATCAGCTTGATCTGATTTTCAACGCCGTGCCCCAATAGTCAGAGATAAACACAAACACGTGAAGAATGAGAATGTATTTCCCAGACATGTTTTCCATAAAGAGGCTGACTGAGCTTCGGGAAATATGGATCTGAGTCATGTTGTCCTTTTCCATGGAAGCAATAAGCAGAGAAGAAAGTCACACAGGAGCACAAGTTTTTTGTATCGGTTACATCACAAGGAACCCCTCTAACTATAAGAGAACAATATTAGTTTTAACACTACATATAACACTTAGATTTGCTGTATATTTATTAGATTAATCTTCAGTGTTTAGCAAAAATACAAAAGCAAAGTCCACACTAAATATTTGTTGATGCAGTTCTCAAAACAAAAACCTGTTTTATAAAGATACATTCCTGTCGAATGTTTTTCCAAATGACCTTGATCAAAAGTTTACATACCCAGATGATGATGGCTTGGTAATAAGCACACAAGTTCACATAAATGGGTCTAAAGGATAACAAAAGGTAACCATCCTTTAGATTTGCTATCCAGAATCTGTGATCTCTTATGTTGTAATCACAGTGTGTACATAAAAGGTCAGGGAGTTTCAAGGCTCCTGACAGACCCCTGCATCTTTCAACCAGTGCTGCCCTGAAGTTTCTGAGTCATGGGGAAAACAAATTAACTGTCATGGGATCAGCAGGAAGGTAGGTAAGCACACTGCATAAAACAGGAAATGGATATAAAAAGTTACCAAGAAACTCATAATGCCGATCAGCAGTGCTGAAACGAGTTATTAAGTGGAAAATTAGGGATTCTGTTGAAAACAAACCACAGCCAGGGAGAACAACAAAAGTTTCAGCAACAACTGCCAGGAAAATTGTTTCAGGTTGCAAAGATTCGACTTTGCACGCACTATTTTTTCGACTATGAAAAATAGTGGTCTGTCTGTTACGATATGCTAAATATTGGGCCTTTAAGACAGGTTTTAAGGCGTGCCCCGCTGCGCTTCAAAAAACTTTTTTTTCCCAGCTCTTTCGCCGTAAAAGGGCACTATGGTGCTGTGTCAAGCAAAGCACAAGCTCAGGTCAGCTAGCTCAACTTGACTGAGGGCGAAATGGAGGAGAAGGCAGCACTGCGTGTCTGATTCGTATTGATCCTTGAGATTATTGTTCCGACTTTCCACAGCATACTCCTGAATTGCTCCAAACTGAGCCAAAAATAGACCTGGAAATAGTCACTGTGGAAAATGTGCTTTTCACAAGCTAGAACTCCCCAGACTGCTCCTTGGACGTGAGCGTTTGGTGCACCAACAGCCTCCCCACTTGCTGAACTTCTAGTAGGGATAATGCCAGCATTTGCTTCTCAGCAAGTGACAGATGCATATTTACAGCTGACAACGACACAGGAGATCGCCAAACCAGACTGTACAGCCAGTCCAAGCACCGGCATTAGATGCAGCGAAAAACACTTCCCATCTCACAGGCCATTAGGGAGGCACTTGAAGAAAAATGTTCTGCACAGTCCAGTAGCAGGAAGAGAGCCACAATGTGTGGCCTACAATGTGTCAAACAGCATAGAGACTAGTCTCATTAATTGAGAAACACATTTATTTAGAGTGATGCGACCAAAATTTAAGTTTTTAGTCACAAATATAAATGTTTGGAGACAACAATGCCTAAAAATGGTAAACTATTATAATTGTGAAACACAGAGGTGGATTGCTCATGTTTTAGACACATCTGAGCAACAAAGGCCCAGGAAACTTGGTCAAAATCAACGGTAGAATGAACGTAGTATGTTTTCAGAAAATACTCATCAGCCTGGATGCTGCACGTGGGACACAAGAAGATATTCCTACATGACAATAATTCAAAACACAAGGTCAAGTCAGCCTATCATTGGGTACGGCAAAACAAAGTAAAGGTTACCTCAGTCTGCTGACCTAAAGATCACTGAGCAGCTCCATAGACAGTCGAAAATACAGTTCATGCAAGACAGACCATGGATTTACAAGAACTGAAGGCTTTTTGCCAAAGATAATAGGCAGCTTTACTATCAAAGAAAATAAAGTGTCATCCACAATAAAAGAATAAATACAGTTGTTAGATAAAAACTGACTCTACACTTCAAGAACTATGGGTGAAAAAAAAGATTTTGTTATCACTCACACCTTCTGAAAAATGGCCCAAAAAACATGTTCCACCAAGGTATGTAAACTTATGCACACAACTATAAGGTGGAGTAGAGTGCTTCACCAGCAAAATAAAGTTATTTAGACCAATATAAAAAAGAGGCTTTAAATTTTCTTTCTGAAAATGCTGAGCGATGTGATTAAATCATTTAAACTGGATCTAAAAGTAGACAAAAATCAGAGATCAACATCCAAATCGGTTTTTTAAATGATAATCAGGACCTTTAGTTCAACTTACCTGTCTACCATCCTGCCCCACATTGGTCTGGCCTCTCACTACTGTTCTGATATCGTCATCAAGACGCCTGTCAAACGCAAAGCAAAAAAAAAACAAGTTTTACTGACACTCAGAAATCAATCATGCAGCACTAACAAGAGATGCTCAAACAGATTCACCAGTGACCTAAAGAAGATTTTACACTTAACTGACCACCACAACAGCAGAAGTATAAATCTGTCAGTCATGAAACCTAATGGATTATAAATTGTTGGCAGCTGTTGGAAATCTCACAGTTAGGAAAACAGCCTGACAACACTAAATGAAACAGACACACCTGCTGCTACAAGTAATGATATCTGTTCTATTTTGAGGATGCTAAAGGAAGAGAAAGACTTCTTCTCAGTAATGATTGTGTCCTTGCTTTGATTGAACAGTGGAATCTGGTTTAATTGCTGAGCTGTGAAGCAATGACTTTTCTTTTTCTCCTGCAAACACACAGTGAGACATCACCTTGTGTTCTAATATGAATTATTAATTTGCAGTTGCAGTCATGCTTTCCCAGGCTCCTGTATAGTTATCATGCAAAAAATGACAACATAACCATTAAAGGGAAGAGCAGATTTCTCCTCTATAATATCAGAGTGAAATCAACCTTTAGTTATTTTAAATTACCTTGTAGAAAAAATGTAATATTTTAAGATATTACACAAGGAAAAGAAAAAGATAAACAAAGTGCATAGTGAAAACTGTACCTTTGGGCTGTTTTCGGGAAAATAGCATAAAAGTATAATTTGACTTTCTAATCTTTAATTCACTGCTTTTTATGGTTGTTAAAGAGAATAAAAGTTTGTCTGAAAACAAAGCCAAAGTGTTATTTTAAGTTTGTGACTTGAAAGGACCCGTCAAATCTCTTATGAGTGCAAAACTGGTAAAAACACATTAAACACAAAACTCACCGGATCTTTAGTCTGATTTTATTTACAACATCATCGATACTCGCCAGAGACTGGAGACAAAAAGAAAAGACAGAATATTAGAAAAATATAAAATAATCATAACAAAAATTCACTGCAACATAATCCGATTTATATGTTCTTTATTTCCATAAATCATCAACTATGATTGAGTTAGAAATAACTTAATCTTGAACAAGATTAAATTACTTTGACATGCAAGTAAAAGGGTTGGTATAAAAAAAGTGTGTGCTACAGGTATAGTATATCGACATAAGGATTGCAGTGACCCCTGATGGACATGGAATACATGTACGCAATAATTGCATCACAATAAAGTCACATTAGAATTCTTTAAAACTGTGAAAACAGAGCCATTTTATTTCATCAAACCGAACCGACCTAATTACGGGAAAAATCTCAAAGTTAAACCAAAAAAAGTTACTGATGTTCGTACAAAAAAAAAAAAAAAAGAATAAATAAATAAATCCATGAATCCTTATTGTTATTAATTGTTAGTACTTTTTTTGTCCCCAAGACAGATTTAACCATACATGGCATGGCTAATTTGTCCTTTACTAATCACATAGAGGAAATATATCCAAGATGGTTTTACACCATATAATGTTTTCTTCTTGTTTATCTATTTTTACAATTCGGTTGCTAATAACTTTTATAGATGACTGCAAAAGAAAAAGAGTGATTAACACGTCTTTGAAAGTTGCTGCATATTTATTAAAGTCTCCTCTAAAGTTACAACAGATTATTTTCCAAATAATGTTTGTTTAATTCTTACATATAATCCTAGATAGTAATAAAAAACAAAATAATTAGTCTAATTTGAAACAAAGTAACAAAACCTTTAGATGTATAACTTAAAAATTTCCTTTTAATACACAGCAAAATGTTCAGAAGATATTATAGACAATGCAATTAATACAGTTAAAGGTTTTCAAGTGATTGCAAATGTTGGAGCAACATTTTAAAAGAGTTTATATTTATATAAATACTATTATTTTATGTTTTTTTTTTTCGTTTTTTCTGTCTTCCTGTTAATTACTATATATATATATATATATATATATATATATATATATATATATATATATATATATATATATATATTTTTTTTTTTTTTTATAATAAGCAAACAAATTTTGCTTATATTATGTGACATTATGTGATAAATCTCTCTCTCTCTCTCTCTATATATATATATATATATATATATATATATGTCACATATATCACATAATGTAAGCAACATTTTTTGCCTTTTTTTTTTTTTTTTTTTTGCCAACCCTTAGTTTATTAATTAGTAAGCCTGCTAACATAAAGGAATGTTTTCATCATAACTTCTGTGTCATTCACGATGAATTACAGGTTAATGGATCAAGTTCTGGCATATTTAAAAAAAAACTGAAACGAACCAATTAAACTCTTAAAGAGCTTAGTCCTTAGAACAAAGGTACTATACCTGCTCGGTGGGGAAGAGTGTGTTGATATACTCCACAGCATTAAAGTCTGCCCTGTCAAGAGGGTCCTGGCTGGGGAAAACCTTGTATAAAAAAACAATAAGCTTTAGGTTAAAACAACAAAATGTCAACCCTGAATTTAAACTGCATTTAACTTTCAGAATACATTTCTAACAATGAACATGTCGTCATTGTTGTACAATCAATGGTTGAGCCAGCAACGTCCTGTCAGGTAATTTCGCAGGATGCGTTAGCCAGCTAACAGTTGCACCTTCTTTTTGTAAAAAGCGAGAATAATGAGTTTTTGTTTTAAGCCGACTGGGCTAACCACCTACCTGTTCAATAGCTAGCTGCACCTCTGGAGTTAGATGCAAAATTGCCTCTAAATCATCAGCTAGTTCTAATTCTTCTTCCTCCATCATTGTCAAAACAAAATTAAGCTATGCGGTTGAGCATTTCCGGGGTTGCGTGATGACGAAGCTTCTTGCTGTGATGACGTTTCAGGAGTGGGACATTTTTGGACTGTCGGAAAAACAAGAACGCTCAGGAACACATTCGGTTGGCGAGGTCCTGCAGACTGCAGCGCCACAGTTAAACTATAAATAATCTGCACTCTATATTAACAGAATTCTGCAAGAACATATTCATTAATTTGCTGTTTGATTTGAAAATTGGCAAAGACGAGGCAATTGTCAGTAAAGTCGAATCTTGTCTGAAAACATAAAAAAATAATTTAGTCAGGAGTAGTAACATTGATTTATCAGTTAAACTTTAAAGTATCGTTAGAAAAAAGAAGATTAGTATGAAGTGTCTTAGAATGATCTGGAGTTGTCTGAAACCTGAACCTGCTCAAGTCTTTTTCAATACAATAATCTTGTCACATCTGTCTTACTCCACAACTGTCTGGACTCAAACAGTCAATCTACATAAGGCTACATATTAAAGATTTTAGACAGAGATCATCCAGTCAATCATTGTTACATAATATATATATATTTTTAACTTTTTAAGCTTTCAATTTCAGAAGCATAAATTTATTTTTTAATGATGTTATTGTATTGTTAACAGACTGGATACCTCCAGATCAACAAGAGCTGCTACCCTTGGAGACTATACATTTTATTAAATGTCCTTTGCTAAAAATGTTTTTTATGTGAAAGTAGACATCCCATGGAACAGTCTTCCCACAAAATGTTAGGACCTTTACCAGATTTCCCACTTTAAAAAACAAAAACAAAATCCCAACTCATACAGCTGCAGTTATGCAGCCATGTCACAGGAAATGCATTTGTATATCTAATACATACACTTATTTGATCCTTGATTCATGTTTTTATTTTTATTATAGTAATTTTATTAATGGTATCTGTTTTTTTTTTTTTTTGTGGAAATTTCCAAATGTATTTTAAGTTTTTTATATTTGTTTTTTTTTTTTTTTTTTTTTAAATGCTAAAAGCTCTTCAGGGGATGAGTGTTGTGATTTGGTTATGGTATAAGGACTATGATACAGGCATAATATACATTTTTATTTAATGGTCCATGTTAATTGTACCTGCCCTACCAAATACAAAGGGTCCATTCATAACTTTTTAAGTTTTAACCAGTGTACAAAATATACTCTCTTTGAACGCCCCCCAAAAGTGTAAAAACGTTGCTTTTCACCAATATGAACCTGTTAACGTATGTGGCTATCCATAAAAAAAATCCATTTCCATGTTCAAAATAAGTAGACTATAATATAAAACAACAGTTTGAACATGCGTTTCAATGCACAAGACTAATAAAATAATTATATGAGTCAAACGATCATCATTTAAAGAGCAAATATCAACTTAAACCCCACCACCAACCCTCAAGGACAGGATTTCTAAACCTTTTTTTCTTTTATTATTATTATTATAAACTGAACATTACGGTAAACAAAAAAAGTAGCAACGTGAAACAGTTGGATAGAGGAGGAAATAGAAATGAATATACATAAACACAAACATACCTAACCTATAAGTTTTGGATGGCATAGATTACTCATAATCTGATCATTGTGAAAATAATTACCGGTAACGAATTAGCAAAGATCAACAGAAAGAAAGAAACTGAGTCTGAAAGGGGAGTGGAAAGTAATATCAGTTTGAGTATTGACAAAGTTTGTAGAAATACTTCTAAATTTGTGACAAATTCTAAGTTGTAGAAACAATGTTAATAATAAGAACATCCTGATTGTAGTTATAGTGAAAATATTTGTAAGAATCATAATAATAAACTGATGTGTTAAAAATAAAGTAATAATGACAATGGTGATTATTATGATGATATTAAGAGTTTATGTTTGCTAGAATTATATAAATAATTACAATAATAATGCTAATAATAATAATTAAAAGTAGTAATGATATTGATAATAATTTTGATCTTAACTCCTTTAGACCTTTAGAAAAACTTCAAATGGCAGCTCTAATGCTCCAGGCAGGCCATGCCTAACCTATGTTTGATATACTTCTTCCCTAAGATAGTGTGATGCAGTCAGAAGTGGGCCCAGTGTGTTGCGTGTTTCCTGAACGGGGTTTGTATCCGAGCAGGGAAAGTGCCACAGAGGGTGACCCAGCCAGAGGACACCCAGCATACCAGACCCTCCCTAGTCTGTATTGTGTTTATATTTTGTTGGTTTACTTTATTCTGTTCTTTCTTTTTTTTCTTCTCTCCCTGCCTTGGGGATGATGTGTGCATACTAATGTAATGCATTTAAATAGGAGAGGCACTGTGTCACATCCACATGTCCTATACACAGGTTACCATGATGAGCACAGAGTGATGAGACCACCAACGGTCAGCAACTTCACCCTTCTCTTAGGTCATGTCAAGCCAAGGTTTAGCTATCTATACTAATGATAATGATTGTTTCAATAAAAATAAATGGATAATAATAACAAAAATGTTTATCACCCTTTATTTGTTAAAAAAAAAAATTCACCATCATCATCATTGTCACAAATAGAGACGATTGGGTAAATAGGTAAATAAATAGACATATGGATTTATATAAAATCTGAACATCAGGATAAACACCTTACAATAGTAGCAAGAGAGACAAGCGCAAGGACAATTATATATTTACACAATATTACTGTTTACTGTAATCAATAACAAAATCTTTGTTTTTGTTATTAGACAGGCGATGTTTCAAAAGTATCACATTTATTCAGAGACATGTGCATATGGTTTTGATTTTAATTTAAAACTCGATTTTTTTTTTTCTGAGGGCTTGGCACTAAATAATATAAGGGAAGAAACATTTTGCTGATGAAATTTTGTCTACTATATCAAATATTCTAAAATGACCAGTAAAGATAAACGTTTGCCTTCATTTGCTATTAGCTTCGAAAAATTCCGATTTTTAATGTTAATTTATTCCTAAAAATGTTAAAGCTTTTATTAACAGGTTCTAATTCTTGAGCAGTGTGTGGCTGATTCCTTTCTGAATCAAGGAACTCCTCAGAGACAAAAGCTCACTCAACCAAAGAAGCAATTTCATGCATTGGATTAACGGTGGTTGCTTTTTATACATGTCCTTCAGCCTCAAAAAGCCCATTTTGACTTCCAGTTAAGTTATTATTCCTGTTTAGTGTCAGTTACCACTATTGGAACAGCGTTTTCACACAGAATTATTGAGGAAAATTCAAAACCTCAAACAGACACTATCATTTTCAACAGAAGGGGATTAAAATAATAATAATAATAAAAAAAAAAAATCAAAGAAAATGTGTCACCCAAAGGGATATATGACAATGCATGTTAATCTGTTAGTGGCATACACTGAGCATTTAATGAGAATTTTCGGTGTCATTACAACAGGTCTCAAATCACTTTATGGGTAACTTGATGGGTAATTAAGTTATAGCTTTGCATATGCTGGTGCAGCTGGAAATTAAAAATGGCTGATGGTGCTGATATAGCTCTTATAATTTTCATAAAAGTGAAAATGCTTGAAGAACCCTTTGTTCTGCCTAATGCTAAAAATATTCATGCCAGTGGTTTTCATGGAAACCTCAAGCCTAAAACCCATGGATGGATGTGAAGTTGTCTTTTTGTCTTTTATGCTGTGATGTAACAGAGCAACAACTGGGTGCTCTGGGCTATTAAATATGCTGTTAAACAGCTGAAATGGTGTGTTACTTGATAAGGGTTTTTTTTCTGGATGTTGTCACTTCTTTTAAAAGGTGGCCTGATATTCTCAGAGGATTTTTAAAAAAGACAAAACTTTAGCATGTATCCACCTGAGACAAACACGACCATCTGTTTAGGTTGATGATTATGATAAAATTATATGATAATAAAATCAATATAAATAGCTGTTTAACACAGAATTGTATGCTATAGTCTTTTTCTGGCCCACATAATCCTGAAGAAGACTATATTTATTACCACCTTGCCTAAGAACATGACTCCTCTCAGAGTGTATCCAAACAGAATGAAATATTAACATTGTTCTTAAAAGTAAAAATAGATTTCCCTAAAATGAAATCGAATGCAGATCTATGTACCAATATTCAAAAGCTCTATCTGAAAATATAAACTATATTTATCCACAAATATGACTTCTTTATATAACACAGTTTCCCCCCAATACTACCTCAGTATTTCATTTAACTTGTGCTTCCAAGCTTTGCTGTTTGCAAAGTCCTTAACGACATCCCTGTTGGAGATCTGACAGCCAACTTTGTTCTTATTTCTATCTCAGCCTGCTCCTGTGTGTCAATCTAGCTCCAAGACCAATATTTCTCTTTCATATATAGGCTACATAATGATTTTTACATAATTAAAGATGTGTAGATGTAAGAAATGTGCATCTGTAGTATGAAATATTTTTTTGTTGCTGTATTTTCCAGCTTAAATGATTGACTTGATTAATTGTGATTAATTGATTGTCTAAATGATCAGCTCTAATTATTGCACTGTTTGCTGAAAGAATAACACAGTTAGGGTACTAATTAAGCCAAAACTGTAAAAACATGAAAAAAAAAAAAATTCTGTCTATAAATATACTCAGCCCAGAACTTCTCAACAGGCTTCACCTGCTGCGCGTTCGAGAAACTAAAATACCTCTTATTAGCACCTTCCACCACATGACAACAGACAACATCAAAAAGCTTTTTTCATTTGGGTTAAGAGGAGAAAGCTTTTTCCCCATTTTATTCGGAAATCAAGGTCCCAGAGTCTGAAAGAGGAACAAAGAGGTAGGAGTTAAAAGTAGCTGAGACTCAGTGTAAAATTACCTCAGTCAGTAATCTTTTGTGGAGACATCATCTGCTGTTGATGGTTCACTGTGTTGTATCAAGTAAGCGCAGCACACTCCTCTTTTAAAAGTCTTAATTAACATTAAAATATTCACAAGCTGAATTTTTGTTTTTCATGTGCTGTGTCCTAA